CCTTGGAAGACAAAGTTTAGTGCTAGCTCTGTTCTATTTTGCTGAAAAGCGCCTAGGCCTACAAGTGGAACCGTGATTTAGTTAGTTTCTATGTAGTTTGGGTAAAAATTTAGATTCGTTCAATGAACATTGCTGCCACTTGATGGAACATGTTCAAGATTTCACTTCCAACAGTAATTGTTGTGTTACAAGACTGACTGTTTGTATCAGGTGTAGAAGGAAATCTGGCTTATTGTCATAGAAACCTGTGTCTTTTTAGGATATTTTGTGGACGATTTCACTGGACCATCACCTAAGAACTGACTTGGTCATCTTTTGTTCCGATATTACCCATGATTCACTTTGTCTTCACTCAGCGGAAGTGTTTAGCGGTCACTGGTGACTCGTCTTGTGTGACAGTATCTTTCCCAGGGAGGAAATCCAAGCCTCGCCACCTCGTAATACGCGCGCGGACAGATGGGATCAAGGTCGCAAGTGCGCGCTCAATGGCGAAACAATTGCTTAACAAATCGCAGGGAGTTTGCAAGCGGTCCTCTGCAAAAAGGAAAAGAGGGCTTAAAGTTTTGACATTTGAGGTTTTTGGAAGCGTGTGTCCAGATGAAGACCCCGGGTTTTGGGTTGTGTTAAGCCATCTGCGTGTTGTTACTGCACGACACAACATCCGGGTGTCTCAGTCATAGATGACGTCATCTAAGCAAAAGTTAGCTGTAAAGGTATCCATATTGAACGATACAGATTTGTCTTAATTAGGGATCACTGAGAGTTGTCCATTCACATTTATAAAGAATCAAAATCTGAGTGTTCTTGTCTATAGTATTTACATAACGCCCACTCCAGCTTTTGGCAAATCATCGGCTGAGTTACGTTTTGTGCGCGTGTGAATATTTGAATTAAGTTGACCCCGCGTATGCGCGTCAATGGGTCAAAAGGGCAGCGACGCGCTAGCTCTCCAACTTAAGTCTTTTGAACCCATTTTGCTCTGCTCTTTTGTAGCAAACTTCTATGAAAATGTCACCTCATCGTATTTCTCCGGTTCGTTAGTGTGACGTCAGTTCAGTTTAAACCACGCCCACTGACCATTAAGCAGCATTGGAACCATTGGAACCGGAAGCTAACGCAACTTGAGTGTTTATCCAATGGGCGCGAGCAATCAGTGGTGCGCGCGCGTGTATGACGTTTTTACTAACGAACCGTATAGCTTCAAACTTCAGGCTTCCAAATTCATCAGAGGGTCACGCCCACTCTCTGCCCCCCAAAAATATACATCAGGTTGCTTCATTTGGCTATATCAATCGCTTGTGCCGTTTTCATCCCCCGTCAGGATTGTTGATCTACCGGCCCTGCTATAGTTCCTTCCCTTACAAGACCTGGGATTAAGAAGTGTGGACAGCAGAAATAAACCGACGAAAAGTTGGCCCCGGTGTCCAAATACTTGGCCGTTTTGATTTATTAGTGGACGACTGTTGCATGTCTGGACTGTTCAAATTGAAGTGAATTTCTTCCACCAAGTTATTGTTGTGGTTCTGAACATGTCTTCCATTAGTTTGCGAAATCTATTAATGGTGTATCGTGATATTTATTGAAATTATTGCATGTTTGGTACCGAAACAGCGACTTTCCGATTTGTTTTTCTCAAATCTTTAGCCAATTTCCAGAGCCTCATCCATGAGATTTTGCCAAAACAATCATTCCAACAATTAATCAATTGATAACTATACAGCGCAGTATTAGTGTCATTACCATTTCACAATAGGTTTTGCCTTCAAATGCTCATCAAGCGTGCTGAGCTTGTACCACACTGCAACTTTCAGCGCATCTCGTCTCAAACGCGCATGTTCAGTTGCAACTTGTTCAAACTCATCACAGTGCGACCTCAGTACAGTTTAGAAGACGCACCTGGCAATATCGGCTCGCACCTGGTAAGGAACAAGAAAGCACTCGCTCGTAATAGTGACATCTTTTCCCCCAAAAGAAACCTGTAAATCCTTGTATAGTATCACTTAACTTATGGTCTTTGGATCGCTATCGGAGACTAATTCGTGTTGACGGATGATGTGACCCTACGTGATTAGACTGCATGTACTTTCCCCTTCCCTTCCCCCCTCCCCCCCCCTTCCCTCTTGTCACTCATCAGGCAGTCATAATTTTGCGCCCCTTTTCCTCCCCCTGCTCTCGTTTCCCCTCGGGATGGGATGATTCAAAATTAAAAAAAAAATAGGAGATTAAAGGCCATGTCAGAATTATATCCCTACCTGCTGAAGGGAAAACGGTCAACAAACTTGATTCTTCGAGTCGGCCATGTTTAATTCATAGCGAGGTAAACTCTTCATTTTTGGAACTTGCGAGTAGAATTAGAAGCAATGAATTAAAGTATTACAGAGTAATACCAGTCTGCTCTGATGAATAATTTAAGTTTTGTGATAAAACATATCCTAATGTTTTAAGCCTCATTTGAAAAAAAAAGTTGAAGGCAAGGTTTTTGAACGCATCAATTATAAATAGTCTGGCACCATCCCATTCAATTTCAAATGTTTACAATTTATAAAACACATTCATGGAACATGATCGAAAAAGGCTTCCTCTACTTCAGTGTCTGGATGGCTTGGCGTGATTGCACCCAGAATGCATTGGGTTTAAGGTATCTTCTTGTAGTTGGATTAAAAAGCGCCATCTTACGTCTGGCAGTCACAAAAAAATCATTGCTTCAGTCACAAGGCAACCTATGAAGGATTTGGAAAAGCTCGAGATTTACTGTGAAATAAGTGCCAGCATTTGGTATGTGTTTTTCATCAAGAGTTTTTCCATTAATAAGACTCTCTGTCTTCTTGCCGATTGGTGGCGCTACACACCCCACAATTATTTGATGCTCGAAGTGTTGAAAGCTTTTTGAAATTCAGAAAAGTTGTTTGTTTGGATTCCTAATTTCCCACCCATTTTCAGTCGTGTTTATCACACCAAATTGTTAGAAATATTTGTAACTTTTGCGCAAACTATACCCATAAACGCCGGGAACGACATTTAAGGGGCATTAAAGAAACAATCAACACGGAACAAGAAATGTGTCGCGTTTATGCCTTTTACCATGTTTACAGGGCAATATCAAGACTAAATGTCCTGTTTTTTTGTTGTCAGCCCTACAGGTTTAGGAGGTAGTGTCCCTTTAATGTTGACAGCCCAAGTCGTGCGTAGAGGCCAGGCGTGAGGCACCGATTACCGGTTGAACGCAGGTGCGTGAGCGTCTCTTGGGGGGTCGGGACGGGGGACGGCCTGCGCTATAGCCCGGGCCGCTTGGGGATTTCACTCGCCACGAAGCCGAGGCGTAGCACCGTCAAGTCGAGTTGTGGATTAATGGGGAGTTTGAGAAGCTGGCAAGGAAGACTCGATGATTGCTTGTGGAGGTCGGGAGGATGGGAAACGAGTCTGAATCAATCTTAAGAAGTGTTTAATGTTGTTTTTTTTGGCGAGTAGAATTCTCTCGTCCAGCTTGTATAGAATGCAGTAATTCGCTTCGAACCCAATAACTCTATGGTGGTGCCGCACCGTAAACATGTTCGTCGTAGTGATTGAAATCTTACGTCGAAGACTTCGACCTAAGACTGAACGTATTTGTGCCAGGGAGTAGGGGGGTGCTTTTACTTAGTATATTCCAGCACCCCCATCCGTAACTTGAGTGTTCCTGTTTTACGAAGTGACTACAAAAGTTACTTTGTTTTCCAATGATTGCCAACGTATCCTCAATTTTGACTCATCAAGATAACTTTACAGGGCAACTGTAACAGAATTAATGGCATCTTTGAAGTTCCACTTTCTGCCCCTTTAGTTCTTTGTTGTTGATCTTTGTTTGTGGTTTTCAGAAAGTTTCATGTTTTCAGGGCCCAGATGATTTCTCTACATGCAAAATGAAAATCCATTTCCATTACTCTTGTGCCAAACAATGACGTACGTCACTTTAGGTAGAACTTAATCCGCCTCGCAGTTTTAGTTTTGGGAAATGGCATTAATATGGTGAATAGTTAAAGATGCAATTTGATATAATTTGAACCAAAAAGAGGGTACCCATTGTTTTACAGGCCAGTGATATGGAAAATGGCACACGACAGTTCAACGTGAACTTGTATAGCCCCTTTAATGCGGTCGCAATGCGTGATTCAACCTTCATGATCCTAGCCACGCTACCCACACGACGGGTCGAGCTGACACTGACAGAAACACAACAACTGTTCTCCAGGACAACCAGCTTGCAAAGACAACCCGCCAAAATACCGAGTTGCTATGGTTAACCGGAACTTCAACCGCGTTTTGCGTTCTTTTGTTGGCCTTTAAAGTGAGGAGTTTTTTTCCCTCCCACCGGAAGGCAAACAGCGCTGGAACAAACACCTCCGTCGACGAACGCGTACCGTATTCGTCCCGCTGTTTTTAGCGGATATTAAAGTCCGTCCCCGGTGACTGTTGCATGTTTTTTTTTTTTTAATTACTTACAAGACACGGCAAAATGAAAATGGAAAAGCCTATCCCACAAATGGGGAAAATCTGATTGATGCCAGTTCTCTTTCGTCGTCTTCCTTTGTGGTCGGTCAACGCTTTTTGAAAAAGAAACAAAATCTGATTTGGAAGACCAAAACATCGTTGATTCTAAGTTTTACAAATCCTGGTGGTGTCTAAATTTTAACTTTTTCCCGTATTTTTGGCATTAAGGAGACTTTTGGAAAAGCCTTTGTTTTTGTTTCGATTTTTCTTTTTACTTTTCCTTTTCTTCTTCTGCCCAATCCCATAGTCTTAGTGCATGTTTTTCTAGTACATACATTACGCCTCATCGAAAAACCACAGCACGAAATCTACCGGTACTGAATCTTTTAGTAAGGCATTTCCCCTTTAATGAACAATCATGGAGAGCCCCTTTAATGTATAATGGGCTCTCCCTCGGAGGCAAATATTGGACGCAGATGGCGGTGATAGATTTCCTCCCCGTCAGGGTTAGGTTGCCAATAATCCCCGCGTAAATGGCATCTTGCGTCCGACCGCCGAGGTATGGCGAGCCGCGTGCGACAGAAATCGCCTATAGGCCAAGGAGTTGGGTTCGTCTATAATATAATCGCATCAGGGACGAGTTGGAAACTTGAGTAAAAGCCACGTGGGCCTATCTGTGCGGTGAACGTCGTACAAGAGGTCCTTTCTTGGCCCGAAAACAAACAATGAATCTGTCTCTAGTTTTATTGTAAAAGTTTCAGTGTTCACCGGTTTCGTCTTAAAATCTCAGTCAAAGTCTAGCCCCACTCAACTGAAAAGTTGAATCGATTTGGGAACAAAACATGTTTTAGGATAACATTCAGCAACGTAGTCAGCAATATTGTTAGACTTTTTCTCTTCTGGATTATTTCAAATTCGAGGATTATATTAATTTCATCAAGTGCCGAGGTCGCAACGTTTGCTAAATGAGACGGTTGTCATACCAACGGGACATGCCCAACACATCATTTAATCGATTTTGAATTCACCAATATCTCAATTGCTATAGAAGCTCGATATTAACCCCCCCCCCCCCCCTTATACCGGATCCGTTATACTGGAGCCAAAATGAAAGCAGTATTGCTCCAACTTCAACACCCGATTGCGTAGTACTGGCAGAAGTGTTCATAAGGCATAAACAAATAAATAGGTCTTAGTCCGTCCTTTTAACGACTTCTTTATCTTTTTCCCCCAAGATGGCGGATTTTTTTTAAGACGGCGGATGAATTATTCCATTTCTCGACTATTTATGATACAAAATTGTGTCAAAAGGAGCCATATCCCTTTCTACACATCTAAAATTTTGTTGGAAACAGATAAAAAGACAAAATATTGACAATATAAGATGCAAAATGTATTGCAAACTAATGTACGAGTAAAATATAAAAAAAAAAACAGGAGGAAGTCGGGAAAAAAAGAGAAGCGGGTGGGGACGAGGAACTGATATATTTTTTACTTGGCGTTATGTGTATCACTGAACTTTACGCACTACATGTTTCTGATTGAGCAGGAAAAATTAATCTCCAAAAGAAATAAAAACCACATTTTCCTTTCAAGTCTGGTTCCGCAAGTTCAACCCCGTCGTCTCCTGTGTATACCCCAGGCGCCACGTCTTCCCTTCCCCAGCCCAAAGGCAAAGCGCATTTCGAGGTCATTTTTATTTTATACTCCGCGTTTGGATGCAATCGCTTAGAATATTGATAATAATGTTAATGCGGAACATGCCAACGTTGCGCCGCTAGCTAGCGGGGGAAATGTGTCTTTACAGCGGGCGCGTAGCGCTGTTCCTGACCGTTTAACGAGGGCCACAGGCCGGGCAAGCACGCCAAGGATTGTCGGGTCGTAAATTCCTGGCGAAGCGCGGTAGCTGACAAATTGAAGGAACGCGATGGAAGGGAAGAGACGCCGACGCTAATGATTTTATCGTGTTGCGATTTTTTTTTTTCATGGAAGAGGTCTGCCGATATCTTTCGCGTCAATGGATTTTCTTCTAGCGAACTTCGGGAGAATGCACCCCCGCGGCCTCGAAAAAAATGAATTAATGAATAAGAATTCAGTTCAGTCTGTCGTTGGTGGCGCCATTGCACTGTAAGTAAGGGAATCGACAAAAATATGAGCTAGACAAACGAGATTTGCCGTGCAACTGATTTTTTTTTATGAAACGTATAACTGTAATCCCGTCTTCGTTGTGCGTTTTTAACTGGGTGCTTGCAGACCTCATTGTTGTTTTTCCAATGCAAATGTGAATTTTCATAATCATAAGCGAAACGGTGATGTGCTGTTTTGGCGAAGTGATGGATCCCAATTACCCGGGGGAAAAAAAACCCGGTTTGTTTTAGTTGTTGGTATGCGTTTCTTGTGTCTTTTTGTTTTGGTTGAGACTGCTGTTTCATGCGTTAAGTGTTTCTCTTTTTGTGTGTTCTTGTACAGAATGTTAAAAGCCGGTGAGGGCCAAGCGTTTCTGCAGATGGCATCGGGAAATCTTGTGGAGGCGCTAATTCGCCGAACTTTGTTGGAAGATAACATCCCCACGGACGATCGCCCTTCAGCTGCCAAGGCAGGCAAGGGACCCAAGAGCGACCCATGGGAGGTCGACATCGACGACGATGACGTCGAAGTGCGCGTGCCCATCATCAAGGGCATCGATACCAAGAAGTCATCCTCCAAGACGACTCCTGGAAAAAAGGAGCCAGTCAGATTGGACTCGGGGAGGAAAGTCAAGGAGGAAAGCAGGAAGGAGACGCTTCTCAAGGAGTGGAGGGAAGCAGAGAAAGAACAGGAACTACGCAGGAAGAAAAATGCAGCTGTTTTGAACAATGAGGAAAGAGACTCTAACGATAACACGACCAAGAGATTGAGTCCTAGCGAGGCAGGCAACACGTCGCCTGGAGCTCTTGGGGAATCCCCCATCAAACTCTCAAACTCCAAGGACAAGGGGAAGAGGAGTAACAGCAACAAGGGCAAGCAGGTCACACCTGACCAGCAACAAGCAACCCCAGGAAAGGAAGGTGGTGCAACTCCAAAGAAGGACAAGAGAGATAAGACTGGGAGCAAGCGAAAGCTTGCTAAGTCCCCGAGAGATTCCCCTGCCGCGGCAGGAGGAGATCATGACTCCAAGTATCTGAGACTTGACAAGAACTCAAACACGTATTGTGGTCGCAGAGACTCTTCTTCTTCAGAGAAAAGCGAAGTGATTTCCCAGTCAGCTGAAAACAACACTAGTGCGGTCCGGTCGTCACCCTGTGGGTATTGGGAGAACGGCAACGGACGCAGACCGAGCGATGATGAAGCTAGGCCCTTGGAACCGAAGCCGAAACGGCCGAAGCTTGTACCTGAGATGTCTACAGGTCTCACCATCGCTAGCATGATCGAGAAGACCCTTGATGCGGGGCTTGGGGCGTCTCTGCGGGCGCCTAGGATGACCCACGCACCCGCTGGGGCACCAGAGCTTCACCCGTTACCCCATACGGAATCCCGCGATCCAGAGACCGCATCTAAGAGACGAGACCACACACGTCACGAGGAGGAGGCCTCAGCCTTCGGTGTGGTGCCCAAACTCCACTGGGCGCTGAACGGCCAGCAAAAGACGAACTCCAAACCGGGCCAGGATTTGGACCTGGGCGGTGCCTTCCCGTCATCGCGCCCTCCGGCACACAAACCTCAAACAGCCGTCGCGCCGACCTCAGGCGTAGTCGTCAATCAGCCGCAGCTCATGCAACCCATCTTCCCAGTAGGAGTTCCCAGGTTCAGTTCCTCTACTGCACCCATCAAAATCGACATCCCCCGGTCCTGCCCCCTCCCCAGCAGCAGTTCATCTCCCGGCTCACCCAAGGACAATCCCCTGTTTTCCCCAAACCACAGTGACGGGTCGCTGTCAGCCAACCAGAGCGACAACGGTGCGACCAGTCCAGGCAACATGGCGGACGGTTCCAACTCCTCCTCGGGAAACAAGAAGAAGAAACGAAAGCGATGTGGTGTGTGCGAGCCATGCATGACCAAGCAGAACTGCGGCGACTGTTCGAGTTGTAAGAACCGGAGGACCGGTCATCAGATCTGCAAGATGCGAAAATGTGTGGAACTTCGCAAGAAATCACAGGTGAGTGAGTCAGCTAGTTTTGTACAGCACCTGTCTTTAGGGTTTTTTTCAGTTCAGCAAAATTTGAGCTGCCATTAGCGTTTTTCTCCCTTTTAAAAAGTATCATGGTAGGCATACACTATGCCCCAACCTAATTATTTAATGCAAAATCGAAGTTTCGGGAATTAATCTTCTAAAAAGTAAGTAAATCTGTCTTTCAAAATGTTACACTGGTAAAGTAGCATAGCGCCCTCTTTCCAAAAATTATGTCCAATCCTCCTGACCGGCGATGTTGAATAGCGCCCTCAACAGTTGGCATTATTCTTTGTTCATTCTCTGTCTGGCGGGCCGGAGCTTGTTGTCGAGTTGGTGGAGTTTTTAGGGGGTTTGGGGTCATTTCCCGACCGGTAAACACACTTTTCCTGATCATCATGACATGCTGATATCAACTGTAAGTTCTTTCCTCAAAGTTACTCAATATTCCTGTAGTTTGTTGGCCATTTATAGTTGATGGTTGTGCCGTATATTGACGAAAACAAAAAACGACAACTGCACTGCATGATGATCTGTTTCTTGTGCATGCTTTTTACGTTTCGATCTAATTTCTCGATCTTAAAAATCTTATTCTCATCCAATTTTGAGTGAAGTTTGTGTTAGGTGAACAAATGATGACTTAGCAGACAGCTTAATTTTTGCCATTTGTTCATGATGGATTTGATCTGTGTTCCTGTCTGACCAAAAAAAAGTATTTTCCAGGGAACTTTAGGACGACGATGTTACTGTTGTTACAATTTTCAAATCTGCTTCATTTTTTTTGGGGGGGGGGGTGGGGGAGTTGATAATTTATTTGATGTTAGAGGTTTTAACTGAATCTTCTTGAGCATTTACATTGGGAAGTTTCAAGCCTTACAAAAATCCAACACTGTTCAGGCGGTGGCTACAAAATTGTACCCACGGTATGTCGTAGCAATCGGTAGCATGCAAATTTTATGCGACCCTTCGCCAGCCAATAGGAGTCGACTGATGTACTGTGACATCAGTAGATCACAAATGTGGACTAAGCTGTTGATTGGTCAAGTTGGCTGACATGTTTTTGTAATACAACAACGGGTTACGGACGAACTAATAGAATTTAGAAAGCACACGCTGAATGGTCAGAATCTCGAGGTCAAGACGCAGCTTTGTTTTGCTTAATTAATCGCCAAATCTGAGACAGGCCTGCCCCAAAATAAAGTAATTTTGCAATTCATCGTTTGCCCGACCGAACGGTTTAATTTTGTGTCAATTCTACAACAAGCTCTAAACAAGCATTGATTTATAACAAGAGTACCCAAATATGGTCAATGTTGTAGTAAAACTGAAACAAATGATAGGCCGAGAGCTCCAAGTTCCACCTGGACTAAATATTTACCTATTCACACGTAAATCCCTTGTGCTGATTCATTCATCGATCCCCCCCCCCACCTCCCCCCCCCCCCCCATCTCCCCACTAATTGCATTATGTCCCTGTGTGTCACCCTTCCTGTATCCGTCCGTGGTTTCCTGCCCTCTGTGCTGTACGTGGTTCCCATCAGCTGCCGTGCATGAGCTTGCTTGATTAGCGACTCACGTTCCTGACTTTTTTCGGGGAGAGGCGTAAATGCCTCTACGCATTTATAACGAGATGAGCAAATCTGTTGTCATGGTAACCACTTCATACTCATTCAAGTTTGCCAACAAGCAAGTGTCTTATTTTGCATTCTTAATAACTGGAGCAATAATTATTATTATTTTTTTTTTGCATATTACATATATTACAGAAACAGAGATTGATAACACACTCTATAAATTTTAGTAAATCAAACAAAAAATCTTTTAGATTTCCGTTAATTATTATTGTTATTATTATTATTTATTTGACCTCAACAAAGAATTACAAACAGTGCTACAAAATCAAACAAAAATTACACAAAAGTGGTTGAAAAACACACAACAAAAGGAACGTAAAAACATGTAATTTAAATTTTAAAAAGAACAAAACAACAACAAAAACAACAACAACAAAAATCTATTTTAATAGATTTGAATACTCAGTAACCATGGCATTCCAAACAATACATCATTTATATTTTAATTCCTGTTCCCTCAATAATCTTTTCTTTTGTGTCTTCATAGAATTTGTGAGAGGTTCTTGAACAAAATGTTAATCAAGCTTCAATCTTAGAATGGGCTAATATTAAAACTCACCCATAATTCACGCTAGAATTATACAATTTCCTTTGGAATTTTTTAGTACCTACATACATTTATCACACTTACTCAATAATCCAACAAACCCACAGGCTACGATGTATGTAATCTGCATGTAGCCTTCTTCTGACCTTGCGAAAAATGTGGCCTGCATATTTCCAGGGGAGCAGAGGCCGTAACCAGATACCATGCATACTTCTCTCATTACAGGATAGACCGGCTCCTGCAGTGTGATTTATTATTACATTGCGATCTGGAAGGCAAATGATAATAAACTGATTTTAAAAAAAAATTGAAATTTGTTTCTCACTTGCATCAAATAAAAAAAGAACCCTTCTTCTAAGCTTATAATTTAAACATCATGTACCGTACATGTTACACTTTCGTATCTTTAACCCATTTTAATTTGTAAATTTTGAAATTAACCTTTGGGTTCTAAAATTTGTAGGAAAATAAGGAAATTAAAGGTTAGGCCTATTTTTAAAAGTTGGCTAACTTAATATTAAAGTTAAATTGAAAGCCAGATTATTTGGCCACAAAAAAATTGTGAATGATATCATTTACAATTGTGTCTTTTTAGTGTCTACTTTTTATATTTTTTTTGTGTTAATGATACATGTAGGTATTTAATTTTGATGTCATTTAATTATTTTATTGTTCCTACATTAAACACCCACTCTTTATTTAAATGGTTCAGGAAAAAAAAAGGTCCCAACTTCAACAGTTGAATGTTGGTGTGAACAATTTATGGTTTAAATTTCAGAGCTTTTACCTTTTCCTATTATAAAAAAAAAATAGATCTTAAATTGTTACCTTATCTTGCGTCGTGACATGTAATTCCCTGCGATGGCACATCATCAGTATGCACGCAAACTCTACGGCCCGCTGTCCAGGTTTTTTTATTGGCACGTCAGCTTCAGCTTTATGATATATTACATCTTAAGATAATTGAAAATGAACACGGACCCCCGCAAATCACTGTGCGGCTTTTTGAAGCACGCTCGCATTGTTTCCTCCACCCCTGCGTCCCCCGAAGCTAAGAGGATGCAATTAAGGCCTTGGTGCACGATTCTCGGATCGTGTGCCTAATACCGTCGACGCATGCGATTCACGCTTCTACAACCCCCCCCCCCCAAAAAAATTCTGTCAGTTGACGTACGTGCGAGTGTATTTACACACTATGAGTTTAGTAGCTTGCGTAGTAGTAATTTTCGCGGGAAGCAGCTGAATCGAGAAAACTCATTAGCATATGAATAGCAGTCCAGCCTGCCACACTTATGCACGATTAATATACCCATGGGCTTATTTTGATATGCGGATCCTGGACTGTACCATTTGTCTAGCGTAGGGGTAGAAATCATCTGAGAGGAAATTTTATTGTGGTTGGGTTTGTTTACATTTTGCCTTGGCCTAGCAGTAAAAAGAACTGTCGCCAACAAAAGAAGTGTACTATTGGTGGTATCTACCCTGTCGTTTTTATCATGGTTCATTTTCAACACAAAATACACTGTGTTTTTTGTAAAATTAGAGGATCTCTTTCTTTTCATTCAGGCATGCCACTTTAGTCCTCGGATCATCTGATTTCCTCATTTTTCCCTTCACATCTGTGTCATTAAAAATTGAACAACACTGTCTTAATTCTTGTAAAGATTGGAATTGCCTCTTGTTTGTTACTTTCCAGTTGCATGGCTGTTTATTGGTCTTGTTCTAACAGCAGGGAAACAGTATTAGTCACTTGGTGACATACATTGTACATCTAGCACCAACCCCCCCCCCCTTCCCCAGTTCTATTATTAATTGATTTATTTTGTGGTAAATGACTGATGACAAGTTGTGTCATTTGACAAGACTGATGTCATTTTGTCTTCATGCTTCATTACCCCCTGGCTTACTTCACACCCCATGTTGATATGCTAATGAGCAGGTCATAAAAACAGCATCAACAAGGATTGTGTGGGGTTAGGGATCTTCTCATCAAGTTTGTTTTTACTTTGTTCCAGGGATCTAATCATGTACCAAAACCCCAGAGCCTTGCAGATCAACTGGAGACTGTCAGCATAACTCAAAACATTGTACAGCATTTCTTGTACTAATGTGCCTTTTGCACATTAACCTTTTTTAACCCAAACATTCCTCAATCTGCCAATGTCATCATTAAGACATTAATGAGTCCATTATTGAGTCCTTCAAAGTGCCAAATACTTGCACAAGGTAATGGCCCTTTTAAAGGCAAAATATTCAGGGAGTTAATTATGTATAATTTAATTCTGCATTAGTACATACTGACCTGAACATGTCTGATGTAGACTTTAGACCTAAGCGTTGTAGTCCTCAGTATATTTTTTTCAAGTTTTTTTTATATCCCATTCTTGTCTTTATTGAGTTAGAGGTTCACCATAAATAACTTAGCCTTTCCCGATAGTAGTGGTCTGAGTTTGCGGGTTTGGTTTGTTTAGGAATCATCTATGCTTGAAATTGTTGTGGTCAACCAGAACTGTTCAGGGTTACCAACTCACAATATGTTCTCTTTGAAAATTCAATTTGACACTCTGAATTTCAGAAATGTACTGAGACTTTTGATCCACTTTTTCGGGGACAAATTGCCGCTTTCTTTGGCGATATTTTCCTCAAGTTGTGTTGACTGTATGGATGCTCGTCTTAATTGTGTCTTCCTTTCAGTTGGGTCGAGGAGTTGCCAGATTTAGAAAGGTCTTAAAATACATTGCAAGTTTCCTGCGTTACACTTGATGCCTGGCCTTGGGAGTTTGGGGTTGTGTTGATTCCTGGCAAAGTAGATCTCAGGTTATTTTGAAAAGACGTCTCATGTTTTTCTTTAAACAATGCAGTCCTCTGTAGTGTTGTAGAACTTTGAATGTGTTTTAGAATCATTTTCTTGAAATGTATCGTATCTTAATAATAATATTACTCTTCACTGAATAAAAGTCTTCACCATGCTTAACTCATCCCTCCCAGATAATTTAAAACTCACCAGGAGGTTGTGGAAGATATCGCAGGATGAAAACAGGTTCATGTACCACCCAGCCACTGAAATAACTTCATGTGGAAGCAGTGTTGTAGTCGAATCCAACACAAGTCCCTGCAAGTCCATTACAAGTCCATGACAAGTCCATCACAAGTCCATCACAAGTCCCTGCAAGTCCATCACAAGTCAATCACAAGTCAATCACAAGTCCATCACAAGTCCATCACAAGTCCATCACAAGTCCCTCACAAGTCCATCACAAGTCCATCACAAGTCCATCACAAGTCCGTCACAAGTCCATCACAAGTCCATCACAAGTCCATCACAATGCCATCACAAGTCCATCACAAATCCATCACAAGTCCATCACAAGTCAATCACAAGTCAATCACAAATCCATCACAAGTCCGTCACAAGTCCGTCACAAGTCCGTCACAAGTCCGTCACAAGTCCATCACAAGTCCATCCCAAGTCCATCCCAAGTCCATCCCAAGTCCATCACAAGTCCGTCACAAGTCCATCACAAGTCCATCCCAAGTCCATCACAAGTCCGTCACAAGTGCTTCAGTCTCAAGTCAAGTCACTAGTTATTCAAATTTACAAAAGCATTCCTTTGTCATTGGTCATCCTGTTACTTGTGACTGCACTTGTGACTGGACTTCAGATATAGGCTGGACTACAACTGTGTGCAAGGATTCATGTCGACTGAATGTGCCAGTGAGTTTGTGCACAGTTCATGATTTGGTTCATAGGGAAATAGCAAAAGTTTGTGTCAATTTGAACAGGTGTATGCCATTTCTAAATGGCCTTTTTTCAAAAGTGCAATAACTGAACTCTATTCACAGATAATTATTCACAAAGTTCCTACTACATGTAACTATTTCTGGAGGGAATAACAATTGCTTGTCCTTTGGAACATCAAGCTGTTCAGCAGAGCTTGAACTGAAGCATGAAAAGAGGTGCTGTTAACAATGGTGTCTCTTTTCTCCTGTACTCATAATCCTTGGGCGATAAATATACAACCAGGTTTGGATAAGCCTAGCTAGTGGATGGGACGTATTGTCTGTCCCAAATTTCTTTTGGTTCTTGTTTGTTGTGGCGATCCTGTAGTTGCCATTCATTGAGGGGCTTCACTGGACCCTGTGGTCCAACCTCAGCAGGTCTGGGTATGGCCAGAGCTGTGGTCAGTGGTCGCAACAGGTGAATAGCTTCTACACCTCGTTAGTTTTCTTCTGGTTCTTTCTGATCCCTTCATCAAAGAGAAGTGCCCCCTGTGTTCCTTGTTGCAGTTATCCCTGACCCTATTAGAGCGTTAAACCAGAATCAATACCCAGAGAGTAAACTCAGAAAAAGTGCAACTCAGGCAAGCGGTTAGCTGTTAGGAGCACATGGTTGAGGGTCCCTCCGAGTGTGGATTGACCACCCCTGTGACCTCAAATGGTAGAGTCTGTCTGGTGCTTGACAGGCAGATGAGGTTGAGGCTGAATAGCAGGGGAACAAAGACCGTCCAATCAGAGCGCTCGGTATTGTGTACCCTGCCCACTTAATTCAGGCCTTGGGCCTTGGGTCCTAGCTGATTATGCGAAACCCGCGGCTTGCATAGTATGTGATAGCAGAGCATCAAAAGCTGGGGATTTTAATTTTGTGGTTAGAGAATTTCCTATGCCAGCGCTTATGGAGTGTGTGTAAATGCATGTGTGTGTGTGGACTGCCTACGTGCAATTTGGGTGGCTTTGTTTCGGCCGGGGATAGTAGTGAACAGATGGAAGGGCCTAACAAGGGCCTCATGAATGCTACGAGAATCGACTGCTGCATAACACCGGGTCAGACCCTGTAGTGTAGCACCCTATGTGTACCTAGTCCACGGCAAACCCAATCTGCTTTTATTTTTCTCGCGGACCACCACGCACAAAACCCCTGGATTTCTTTATTCCTGCTCTGCTAGAGTGTAGCCTCCAACATGCATGCATCAAGGGCTTGGATTCCTTGTAGCTCATCACAGGACCCGCCCGATTTCTTCCCGATCATCACCTTGTGTTTTCTCCCGCACGTGGATTTGTGCTCTTGACAGTTGATAACACATTTTTATTATTTTAAAAGCGACAACCCGGATTGAAAAAAATTCCCACCGGATTCAAAAAATCAGCTCTGCGGTGATCACATGGATTTGTGAAAATATCTCAGACCGGCTGATACCTCGACCGTCTCATTCGTATTTTTTTGTGAATTACATGGTAGTTGGCTCTCGTCCAAGGAAACTATACTACTCGAGTCCGAGTGCTGCTGTCGTGGGAACCTGACTTCAGAACCGACTCATGTGCGTAAACAGAAGACGGCATCAGCTGGTTCCGTAGCGACAGCGTCGCTGACCTCATCCGATAACGGCATCTCAAATGAATTAATTTCTCTTCCTCCGTTGTTCAGGAATTAAATAACAGTTGACGTCAGTTGTTCTCGCTTTTCTCCTTTGCCGGTTCGAGTAGAGGATTAACCCTGTTCTTCCTGTTTGCTTTTTTGGTATTTTTCCTCCTCGTCGGTAGGTTCCGGAGCTAACCATGGAGGGCTCGACCAATGGGAGCAGAGCTAAAGCAGGTCTCCCTCCCTTCCCGCAGCTGACAGCTCCACCCCCAAAGGTATGTATCCACATTTCTACCGCGTAGATCACACAAAAAATGTTTAAAATATCACTCTCCGTCTAAAAAAAAATACAGTTAAAATTTTCAGAAAATTTCTCTCTTTTTTCCCATCGTGTCCATGTGATAAACAACTGCCAAATCATGTACCGGTACCTGTCACAAAGATAAACACTGGTAATCCACACCTATTTATTCGCTAAATCTATTTTGATATATTCATTTATTCTTTAGTTTTATTTGTTCCCAATAACATGAAAATAGCATGATTTTTCCCTTAGATGAAAGCATTTGAATAGAAAAGGAGAACAAAGCACAGATAGATTTCACTAACTTATTCAATTAGTCAACTAGAAATTCATTAAAAAAATAAAAATTAACATAGTAGCATGAAGGTTCTTTTGTTGGCAATCAGTCATAATATAATTGATTCTTGTACACCAGCACTTACAGGGAAGTTCTTTCAGAAATTAACATTCTTAACTATCCATTCAAAAAATTACATTCCAAGAAAACTAGTTCCACGACATTCACAGACAGAACTTGAATATTTTACCAAAAGCATAAATGTTTACTAAACTAGTAAAAGTATCAACGACTTCTTATTTTTTTCTTCACAATTTTAAACATGTAATAGTTTTTAGCAGGGTGACTGGTTCGACATTTTGCATTATATTTTGAGCACTTGAATTTATTGAATATATAAAAAGAATTCTGTTGGTATTTGAGAAGCAACTGGGTTTATTTTCCTACTTTCTATATTTGGTCAGGCAAGACAAATTGCACCTGGCACAAGGGTACAACCCTGTCCATGACCAGAACACAAAGTGAGCAATTACACCGGTTTTCCCTCGTTGGAGTGACATTTACAAATGTAACAACCCTCAATAGTGATTGTTCACCCATAGAGAATGGGCTTCACCTGGCAAATTGCTCCTGGTGTCCCACCAAACAGGTGTAAATCAAATCTTTGGGGTTTGTGGTTACCGGTTCTGTGGGCTGGCGCTGGTGATAAGGTATTTGATGTTTATTTCTAGAAAGAGATTTATGGTCTCTGGAAAACATGTTCAAGTTTAGTTTTGGATTGCTAACAAAGAGCTCGGTGTACTTTTGTCAGGTGATGTCTCATTCTGTTCCCTGTGGAATTTTAAGTTGCTAAAAGGATTGAGTTTCATCCCGAACAAAATGTATTCCATTTGTAAATCGCTATTTTTGTATTAATACAATAAAGTTATTCACTTTTCAGTGAGACATCGACCGAAAAAGAAAATCAGCCAAGAGGTTTAGTTATTGAATTTATCACTTCACAATTTTGAATTGTTGGCTGTCATTTCCGTTCTTGCGAGGTAGGCTGGTTCCTGCCCCATAATCAGTATCAGTAATGTAGGGACCGGGAGCCAGTCTGCTTGTAAAGCAGATCTGTTTGTGCCCCCCTCCCCCCTTAAAAAAAATAATCTATTGCAATCGTCCAGAAAAAGGTAAAAAAGAGGTTTTTGGGTGAATGAAACATATAAGTTGAAAATGTTAATGGAAAAAAATTGATTTGTTGGAGAACACGGGGAATTGAACACAACTTTAAATGTTCAAAATATCTGGTAAAAAGTTGTCCTTTTGGGGAGGTGAAAAATTGTATTTACATAATTTGCATTTGTTGCGGGTGATGGTAAAAAGAATTTCCATGTTTTCATTTTGATGTACTTTATATTACCGTACATGTGTTTGAACAAATTTGAGTCTACAAATTGTTTTTTCAGTGTTTCAGTTGAATACACCCGCATAAAATACAATTTACAAATTAACAAGAATGGATACTGGTCCATTTTCTAACTTCACCCAAAACAATTTCTAGGACTGCAAATTCATCGTATATGGGGTGAATGCAATGAAACTTAGCTTCACAGAAAGCCAAAAAAATTGATTGAAAACAAAAATCCAAGCCCATTTTCCTGGGGGGCGAAAGGTTACATAAAACCACAAATTGCAGTAAAAAAAAAATCATGTTGATACAGAAATACAGCAACCGCACGTCCTAAATTTCTCTCACAAGAAATCCCAAGTACCATTTTATTCCCAACATAAAAACTTCAACAAAAACAACCACCCCACCATTTGCAAAACATTCCTCTGTTATTTGTTAGTCAACTGAACTCCCAAACATAAAACCACAGATCCAAATATCACCCAAGGTAATCCCTCATACGAAAATCCCTCAAAATGTCATTCCTGCCTATTTTTATCAGTTTGGCCATCCATTTGACACGCTCTTCACTCCCCCCCCCCCCCCCTCATACCGTACCTGTCGACGACGTCAATGAGAGGGTATAGGCCATATAATTTGCTCTTTTACCACCTCTATACTTGATGCAATCGTTCAACAGGTCCTCATGCGTCTCCCACTTGAGGCATTATTCTGTACAGGTGTGTAATTCAAGACGTGTACATTACGTGTAACATTATGTTTCTTTTGTACACGCAAACCCTAGGGTGCTTTAACATTCAAGACAGTTGGGTACACGTTATGAGAAAAACATGTTCATGTAATGCACACTTTTCAGTAGAGGTTGTTTACAATTAAAAAGTTCTATTTTCTCTGTCGTGGCGTGGCGTATGGTTTTTGAAGGTGTTTTGTGACAAACATTTCTCACCGGAATTTTTTGGGCAGAGATTTGTTTTCAAGGACTTGTAAATATTTCAGTATAAATGCCACTCCTCACTAATGTTACAAATAGAAGCAAGTACGCGGATCTCAGACAAACATGCTGTACGAACTACTCGCGTGAAGATTACGCGCTCGCTTGCAGCGAATGTATGCGGCCAGTGCACGCGTGATTGTTCGAAAGTTTGTTTGAGTACGTACGGCACGGAGCAAAATTGACGTCATTAGTGGGGAGTGCTATTAACGTGTGTTTACATTGTATCTTAATGCAGGGGTGCATACCTATGTTCCCCAATACCGATGTCCCCTGAAATCCCTACCCTATAACCCTAACCCTAGCCCTAATCCTATAAGGATATCGGGGAACATCGGTAGTGGGGAACATGGGTATTGGGGAACATCAGGCAGACCCCCTTATAAAATGCAGAATGTACAGCGTGTACAGAAAATACACACTGATCAACACTATCAGAGAAAATGAAACTGCGGGTAGATTTGTACATGTACATGTACATTAATCTGGTTCAGTTCATTGAACAATTGCATCATTGCACTATGCAGGAATTTATTGGGCGTCGACCTACATGTACACATGTACGTGTATACTTCTATATGATGAACAATGTACATAATACATAGTGTACATACATGTATGAACCGGTATCTGTCTATCATTATCTACAGAGTGTTATAGTTACATGTACGGTATAATGTGCACTACTTAAGTGATTTTATTTATGTGCATTCATATGACCTGATTAGTGGTATGCCAGCGCCATGGTTATGCAAAGCCTCTTAATGTAATCCAAGCTCATATCTGATTAGAAAGTGTAATGTGCATGGACAGATGGGCATACACATGTATACAATGTATACATAATGTACCATACATGTACATTGTACAACCATGTACATGTACAACCATGGAGGAATTATTTCTCCGTGGTACATGTTCAGATTAGAGCACTCCAAATTCAAAACATTTACACAGCACATTTCAAAGCATGTTAATTAAAATCAATGTAGACGATTGAGCTACATGTACATTATAGCAAATGAACAAGCTTTTCAAATGGTTACATTTATACAAGAATGTGTGATGCTCCAAAATTACCTTTCTGTTTCTTGCTATGTACAAAGTACAATATAGCAAAAACTTTGTTTGCTTTATGTAACTGGAGACCCTACTATTTTGTCTAAATATCTGGTTAAAAAAGTGTCCTTTTGGGGAGGTGAACAATGTTATTGACATTGAACAGGGTTTTCAAATGGTTACATTTATACAAGAATGTGTGATGCTCCAAAATTACCATTCTGTTTCTTGCTATGTAGCAAACACTTTGTTTGCTTTATGTAACTGGAGACCCTACTACGGTATTTTGTCTATCTGTACATACAATGTTTTTCAAGAGATTTGCAATGCGCAAAACAAGAAGCCACTGAAAAGGATGGTATGTACAAGTAAATGAACAAATGCAATTTATTATGATCTACTTTTCAGCCTTTAGCCCTCCTCCCCGCAAAAAGAGCAAAATGCAGATGGCCCTCCTCAGGTATTTTGTATATCTGTACATACAATGTTTTTCAAGAGATTTGCAATGCGCAAAACAAGAAGCCACTGAAAAGGATGGTATGTACAAGTAAATGAAAAAATGCAATTTATTATGATCTACTTTTCAGCCTTTAGCCCTCCTCCCCGCAAAAAGAGCAAAATGCAGATGGCCCTCCTCAGGTATTTTGTATATCTGTACATACAATGTTTTTCAAGAGATTTGCAATGCGCAAAACAAGAAGCCACTGAAAAGGATGGTATGTACAAGTAAATGAACAAATGCAATTTATTATGATCTACTTTTCAGCCTTTAGCCCTCCTCCCCGCAAAAAGAGCAAAATGCAGATGGCCCTCCTCAGGCCCTGCTGGCCCCATTACCAGAGGTCACATGAGGTCAAGCAGGGTCATCATCTGATGAGGCCAGACATTATGTAATGACTCAGGGGCTGAAGGACCCTCTCTGAGTCTGAGATCATGGACCCGGTTGCCCAAGTAAGAGGCTTCGTGGTGAGACTGACAGGGTCCTTTTCCTTTTGATGTAATTGTCTGAAATTTATAAGTTTTGACTTGTTTTGACTTTTTGACCGAAAGGTACATACCGGGTACATGAGTTAGAATAAATATGTGCTTGGCTGGTATTAAACAAATACCTTTAAAACCGTCTTGGGGGCTGGCCATTATCCACGTCCAGGCCCCAAGCCGGCCTTAAACGGGTTTAAAACCGGCACATAGGCCTATCTATTCCCTTAACAATAACAGCACATACAAAAAGCCTCACATTTGCAAGACTTT